AGAAAATAAAAACAATGTCACAAAGCATGTTATGTAACTGATGTATATTTATGTATTTATTAGTTGAAATGTATCAACAAGCATTTAAACATCATTCAGTGGATGCATAAGGTACATTATTGTGCATACAAACGTTATTTCAAATGAAATGAAAAAGCCAATATAACTAATATGAATCATCTAATATCTAATTAAAGAGATAATTATAAATAAATAAATAAATAAATAAATCATGTGTAAATAACTATTATTCAAGAGACTTGTCAAAGAAGTCTTCTTTTGTCAATACTTAATTAATAAAAAATGTTCCACGATAAATATGTGTGTAAACAGTGCAAATGACAATTAAATCTTATAATAGGTAATAATGATAGAATTAATAAAATATAGAAAAAAATGTAAATGATTTAAAGGACAAGAAAAAATAAGAAAAAAAAATAAAATAATTTAAAATAAATAAACAAATACAATAACATGACAAGACAAAATGCGATTTTGTGTAACTTTTTTTCCTTAACTTTATTGAACAATTGACATTTACAACAATGAGGCAACTAAACCATATTATCAGAGTACATGGGCATGAAACTGAGTGGAGGAAGAAAGTAAAAAAAGATTCGTCAGCCAAAATAAATAACGGAAATAATACAATACATAATAAAAATATATAAAGTTATTTGGTCTTCATTTGAGAGTAAACCATTTTATTGTATATATTTATATTTTATATTATTTTTATATTTTCAGGGTTTGTTTATTTGTACATTTCTACACGGCTGAGCAGTTTATTAGTATTTTAATTTTGTGTAATATTAAAATGAAAAACTTCCCCTTTGCGTGACGTCGTCATCATGTGACCGCCCATCATGGTCACATGATCCACAAGCAAGATGCAGCATTTTAGATGAGCAAAGAAGAGCAGTTCCGCCTTTTATCTCTCTGTGTGTTTCTTATGTTCTTGTGAATTTATTTCTCAACTCATCGTCTCGACTTTAACTTAACTTATCTGTCGCAATACAGAAGAAAGTTTGAGGACGTGACTCAAACATGGAGACAGAAAGCCGCCTCGCAACACTCTCTGTACTTCTGTGCGCCGTGTTGTGTCCCTGTGTTTTTACCTTTAGCCCTGAACAGGTACAGTAACGAAATGTCATAGAAATACGTTGCAGCACAATAGAGTGTCATTAATGTAGGTGCACATGGTGTTAAAGCTGTAAAGTGTTCAGTGTCAGCTTGATTTCACCGTTCAAACCGACTTTATTTTGTTTCTAAGCTGTTACATGTTTCTGTTAATTTGTCCAGCCTGTACATGCGTTCATTTTTAATTGTTTAAGTGTTAAAATTACTTAAAAATAGTCATTCCACTCTATAGAAATACTTGACCTGCATTCAAGATAGAATAAAAGTAAATGGACTCAAAGTATCCAAAGTAAAAGTATGTGTTAGTTTAATTATATTACTGACCCATTATTAGAAATGATTTGGTATATAAACAGTACCTAGATGTTGTAGGTGGTTGACATGAAGCTTATTTAAATGCTGTCTATACGTATGGGTAGTTATATCTATAGCACAACATCCTATTTTATTACTGATTATGATTTCTTTGTAAAGTCTCGATCTGAAAACAACTATAGCTGTCAAACAAAGTGCAAAGCCTCCCTCTGAAATGTAGCGGTGTACAAGACTGAAGTAGCACAAAGTAAAGTAAAGCACATAAGTACAGTACTTGAGTATATGTCATTAGCAACATTACACTACAGCTTGTACTGTTACGGTCGGTTTGGAATAGGCCACATAAAATGAGCGCTTTCTGAAATGAAAGTGTGATCATCACCTGCTTGGGTCACCTGACTCTTCTAACCGGTTTTGCTATCAGATAGTGGAACTCTTTTTTCCCCTTAGTCAGCCATCCTCTCTTCATTTTCTATCTTGCCTCTCTCCGCTGTCCAGATTGACCCTCTGCTGTATGAGGAGCAGCTGCTGTGGGTGAGCGGAGCCCAGGGGCAGGTGAACACCTACAGGATCCCCCTCCTCACCTTCACCCCCAAAGGAAGCCTGCTGGCCTTCGCAGAGGCCAGGAAGTCAGTGGCTTCTGATATAGGAGCAAAGTTCATTGCAATGCGGCGGTCCACTGACAAAGGCAAGGATGAGCACCAGACAGAAACTGTCAGAAACACAAACACACACACACTAACAGAGTGGGTACAAATCTATCATCCATCTATTCAGCCACACAAGGTGGACAAAGGTCAAAACAGTAATTAACAGTCACTTTACTGAAGTTTCCTAGTTTCTAATATGACATAAACAGTCAAACATGTTAGCCACAACTTTAACTATCTTACGTTTTTCAAGTTGTTGAATATACTGTACTTTCATTTTTATTATATCTTTAAATAAATTGTTTATTGTAAAATTTGTCAGAAAACATTATGACAAATGCAAAAGTAAAGAAACAACATAGAACAGGGGTGTCTATGCTATTTTGAATGGCGGCCAAATTAGATGTGAAAACACCTGGGGCCAGCTGGTTCTCACATCATATGGGTTTCCAAAAACAATATCACATAAAAGAGGGGCAGCCCTCGCTTTTGACTTTACGCATCTTTGCCGTGGCTACTAACTAGCAGGAAACATTTGCGTTGTTTACAAAAACACATTAGTTCAGACTGCATAGTTCCTACTTGGTGCATGTCTACAAACTGTATAATAGTCTTGCAATGGTGAAGTAAACAGAAAAAATGCAAAGTGAACTTGCTTTATGATCACCTATGTTACGTCAGGGGCCACATGTAGTATATAAAGACAAGCAGCGGGCCACAATTGGCCCCTGAGCCAGACTTTGGACATGTCTGACCTTCAGTCTGCATGCATATCCTTGGGCACGATACTAAAACGCAAATTGTGAGAGAGTGTGAATGGATAACTGAGTAGCAGGTGGTAAACTCGATGAATGTGTAGTGTAAAAGTGTTTAACATATACGATCGCAAGTCCATTTACCATTTACAAAAACATTGCCTCAAGGTCCATTCATACTCCAATTTTTTCCAAAGCTTTCAGACATAACTCATGACCTTCATCAGTGAAGAGAGAGTTGCTCAGTATGCAGAAGAAGTAAGATTTTAATGCCTCTGCGCATTATGTTTTTGGGTTGTCAGTCCATCCATCCCGTTCTTGTGAACAAGATATTTCAGGTACGCCTTCAGGAAATTGCATAAAATTTGGCACAAACGTCCACATGGATGCAAGCATGACCTGGTTAGTATTTGGTCTCACAAAACATGTTTTTGGCCATAACTCAGGAATTCATATGGTAATTATGAAAAAATTTCACACAAAGGTCAACATATCAGTGACATCATAATGTAAACACTTGTCTGGTCATTATTCAACACCACAACTCAGGAACAGAAGTGGAGACATTTGGTCAGATACTGAATTAGTGACTCTAATCATGGGTGTCCGACTTGAACCTGTGCTGACTGTATGGATCTTCTGTGTTGTCACGTTGAAGATGTGTGTGAATTTGTAGCTTCTTCACCGTCCATGTTTAAAGCATTGTAAACTGTCATGGCTACATATGAGTCTGGACGGACATGGATATAAACTGTAACTGCAACTTGACTGGTTTGCAGAGGTATACAAGTGATTTTTTACCAAATCGTTGTTTCCAAGATCAAGAATAAACGTTCAAGCTCAGCATACAGAAACTTACATGTGTTAAAAAAAAACAGGAAATATCAAGCTTCCTGAAAGACTACCGAGCACTAATTTGAGGAATACAAACAAACATCTACAAAATAATTGTTTTCACTTAACAGGAGACGTTGTTAAATGTTGAATATGTTAAGATAAGTAGTGCAAGAAATTTAAATAAAATGCTGTCTGAAATGGTCAAAAGTGTGATTTAAAATTAAAAAAAAATATCTTATTAAAGAATAAGTAAAGAAGAATATGAATTAAACTCTTTTATAGCACATTTCATACAAACATGCAGCCCAAAGTGCTTCACATGGCAACATTTGAATGACACAGACACAAGACAATAAAATATTAAATAAGCAAACCAACCAAAACAGAACAAACAAACAAACAAACAAAGATGATTAAAACTAGAATAGAATAAAAAGAGAGTAAATAAATAAATAAAATAGAATAAGAATGAACAGGAGAGATAAAAGAAGGTAAAAACCAATGGTTAAAACTTAAAAATCAAGACTGTAATGTTACTTCACATTGAAAGCCAGATTAAAAAGATAGGCCTTTAATTTACGTTTAAAAATACAGAGAGATCTTAGGGGAGTAAAAACAGAAAGTGCTCTCACCAGTACTTGTATGGGATACATGAGGAAAATTTAAAGCAGTAAAGCAGTGGAGGACCTTTGTGATCTGGCTGGAACATAAAAGGACAAAACAATCTCTGAGTTGTGGAAGGACAGGGTTATTTAAAGCTTTATATACAAGTAAAATAACTTCAATTCTAAAAGATACAGGGAGCCAGTGTAGTGACTTCAGCAGTGGGGTAATGTGACCCATTTTCCCTGGCTGCACCATTCTGGACTAACTGTAGTTTTCTTCCTGACTTTTTGGGTAGTCCAATGAAAAGGGAATTGCAGCAGTCTAAATGGCTCATAATAAAAGCGTGAGTAAATATTTCGGCATCTTTCTGGGTTTATGCACAAATTTGATGCCAGCTCTCATTACTTGTTGTTGTTGTTGATTCTCTGTCTTTTGGATACATTTTGGGCTGTAGCACACAAACACTGAGGCTCAGTATCCAGCCCTTCTTACTACAACACACGTCTGATTACATGCACAGAGGTTAAAGGTTTATGTTTGTTTGTCATCTGAGCTGTAAAAGATATAGTGAAACAGAAGAAAGGTTCTTCTTGACTAGATTATCAAACACAAAGCCACAGACAAAAATGTCAAATATTTACATTTCTCTCTTCAGACAAGGCAACATTCGATTTCCGCAACTTTTTTACCTTAATTAGACAACAGTGATCTGCTCTTTATGAACACACCTGACCTAAAGAAGTTAGATGTGTACAAATGTGCTTTATGTTATATAACTGACTATGGGAATCGCGTTCGTCACTGCTCACTGTATGCTGCTGCATAATGGCCATCTCTGTACGTCTGCAGACATTTATATTGGTTGGTTTTTATTTGTAAATCTCTTGTTGGCCTGGTTTCTTCTCATCTGGGCACATAAATGTGTAAAAACCCAAATCAGTATGGCCTGCACACTATTCAACTCATGCTGGACCCCAAGGTTTGAGCGGAACTAGGCAAAAAGTTTTAAAATATTCTGCCCTGTCTTCCTGGAATAATTTGCAGAAGGACCTGATATTGTTGGAGCTGATCACTGTGGGGGAATATAAGTCCATTTTAAAGGACTGAGAAAATAACACTCTTGGTCAAAGTGATTATACCTACATATTTCACTGAAATTGTTCTAAAAATTGTATTTGTTTATGTATTATTATTATTATTATTATTTTTTTTTTTTTAATTGCATTTTAACTGGATGTTGTGCTCGCTCATTTGTGGTGTGTGACAGTTGTAATTGTCTGTTTGTGTTAATTTTTGTGACAATGTTTATGTGGCCATCTTGGTCAAGCCAATCTTGAAAAGAGATTTGTAATCTCAATTAGATTTTTACCTGGTTGAATAAACAACACAATAATAATATTTAAAAAAAAAAAATCATATGTCCAAATTGATAAACAAATAAATGTAATAATTTACTGCAACACAAAAAGTATTAAAAGTGCTAGACAAGACAAATTCTCTGAAAACATATGCATTTATTGCTGTAAGACAAAAGGCTTCAGGCACAAAGCAGGAACAAAAAGAGACAAACAAAGAATTTGAGGTTGAAAACTGATGTTTTGACATTTTGTGTGCTATAGTGGAAAGTTGAATAAATTAAATACTTAAATAATGATTCAATTTTATGTAAAAATATTCAGTGTGTGTGTCTAAACGCTCTCCTGCTCCTCCTCCGTCCCTCAGGAGCCACCTGGTCCCCGACTGCCTTTATAGTCGATGATGGAATACAAGGTGACGGCCTGAACTTGGGCTCCGTGGTGGTGGACGAGGAAGTGGGCTCAGTGATTCTGGTCTACTCCATCTGCTTCCACCTCTTCAACTGCCAACCATCAAGCACCATGATGGTGGAGAGCAGGGACGACGGCCTCAGCTGGAGCCAGCCCAGAAACCTCTCGGTCCAGCTTGGAGTGAAGAACTTCGCTCCGGGGCCTGGCTTCGGCATCCAGGTGAGAGAGAGCGTCATGTGAGAAGATGGTGGCTGCAGCTGGTTAGTTGTAAAGTGAGATAAAAGTTAAGCTAAATTGTTTTCCTTGTGATTATGAGTCATGCCTGTCACGTACCAGTGATGATTAGGTTTTAAAGTGAGATTTAAAGGCAGAAATCTCTGTGTGTTTGAAGTAACATTAAGTCACATAAACCTTATCTACCCCCTGCAGCGATATTAAAATCATCCTGTGCTATGTGTTCATAAAAATCTTAGCTCATACACCTTTGTTACAACAAAGTAGATAAAGCATTAGATATAACTGTGTTTTTAAATTTCACTGATCCTGAACACTGCTCACCTGGTATCAGACTGATCCTTATTAACAAAGGCATTTTTAACTTCATGAAACTTCACGAAAAGAACAAGTGTATTCCGTGCATTAATATCACAACATGATTTGGTTCTAGTTAAGAACTGAAACTATCTTAGTTCTAGTTTCGAGCTCGCCACATCCTCTGTAAAACTGGTCAGTATAACAGCATAACCTATAGTGGGCTGGCGAAACAATACAAACACCTTGTGAACACTTTGTTGGAAAAAAATAATTTAATTGACTGAAATTGGCTGAGAGTCTGAAGTAACTCAATCAATCAGTCTGCGTCTGTCTGTTTTAATGACAGTTAGCAGCATTTGTCAGCCATAAATGAGAATTTTGACGACCAGATTTGGTGTTCTGAGGCCAAGAGACCAAATAATTTGTGTCTACAGAATATTTGTGGAAACAAACACAGTGTACAATTTGACTGAGGTTGGCAGAATGTGCCATCCTCAGATGACCTGCACCACAAAGAGGAACAGTAGTCACAAGTTGAAACTAACAGGGTCATGATAAACACTGATTTTCAGTAAGTAGAGGATTAACAGATGCTTCTGTAGTCAGTATGATAGCTAAAAATAATAACAACAATAATAATAATAAAGATAATAATGCCAACTTTATTAAGAACACAGAACAGTACATAGCGTACTAAACCAAAAAAAAAAAAACAGACGATGCATTTAAAAATACATTAAATAACGGGAAATACACAACTATACATCATGCAACTTTGCTTATAAAGGGCATAAATATAAATAATTATAATATGAAACACCCTTTTATAGCATTTGCAATTAAATTAAGTCTTTTATATGAAGTTTCTATGCTCTTTTTATCTCCTATTGTCTGATATTGACTCATAACATATATTGGTATTGAGTTACTGTATATAAAAGAAAATCAGTGCTCAATGTAAATAAAGTCCTTAACATCATAACAAAGAGTTACATTATACATCAGTTTGTTTCCATAGTTATCATGTCAACTTTACGTTGACCTGGAAAGTAAAAACACTTGTAATTTGTGTAATGATGTGCGCCTTGTTGAACTGCATTATATTAATAGAATAAATTGGACGTTGAGCTTTTTGTTTTCAGCCACTTTAAACGAGCACGTTGAATGCATTAGAGACTGACAGCAGTGCATCTGAAATGTGTGCTGCAGCAGAATCATAATATGATTAGAGGGTTTTTGTATTTGTGCAAATGAGTTGCTTAACCCTGTCCACATTCTGAGTGGAGCATCTGTATGGCTGTTAGGAGTTATTATGTTTCTGCTGATGTCTGACAGTTTTAGGACACTAAACCCTCTGTTGGACTGCAGCAGATCAGGCACTATGGATAATAATTATTATTGTTTGTTGAATTATTCTGGTGCTAACAGTGTGTCATTCTTACTTTGTAATGTTGATTTTAAATTTTACGTAGTTTCTATCTTTATTTTAATTGTTATTTTTCATACACCTACTTTTGTACTTTATTTGCCACATGGATTTCCCGTCTGAAAATCAGTAAAGGTTTATCTTATTTTCAGAGTTCGATTTAGTTTGTGTTTTAGAATCAAGTTTGCATCTTTGTTTTTTGTATGCTCAGTGCACATGTTTTGTGTCTCTGCACTACAGAAACGTTTCGAACCAGCTAAGGGGAGGTTGGTGGTGTGTGGCCATGGGACACTGGAGGGAAATGGAGTTTTCTGCATCCTCAGTGATGACCACGGACTTAACTGGCGCAACGGTGCTGCGCTAAAAAGCATCCCTTACAACCAGAAGAAGAGAGCACAGGACTTCGACCCTGATGAGTGCCAGGTATGTTGGCTGCTTTTTGTTAATCGCACCATGGTGGTCACAACTCACAGTAGAGACATTTAACGGTGCTGTGTCACATTTCAACACAGTAGAGTATCATTGTTAAATCAAGAGGTTTGCTGTCAGCTTGGGTTGTGGAGCTCTTCTGCCCTCTAGTGACCAAAAGAAGTGCAGCTGTAAAATGTATATTGAAACTAGCAGCAATCTTAAAGAGAAACTTTGGTATTTTTTAACCTGGATCCTATTTTCCCACGTTTTTGTGTCTATGTGACTGTTGGAGACAGATTTTGAATTTGGTCCAGTCAGACTGCTGCAGCCGGCAGCCACGAAACAGGCTGCAATGTAACCACGTGGGGCATGCCAGCACAGTCAATTTATGTCTACTAAAAGTGTTTGTTTTTGCCACTGATAGGCTCAGATTGTTATTCTTAGTGTCTGACAACATTACGGAAAGCATCCCTACAAAGATAAACCCTTTCATCTTGTTTAACCAGAAACAGCCCTGAAATTGCCATTGCAGAACGCACCAGACTCTGTTCAGAAAGACTGCATATATTCAGATCATACTGGGTGAATTAAGGGTTTATTTCAACCAAACCAGAGTCTGTCATTGTTGGAACAGTGGGAAGACGAACCAGTACCATTTTTGTGAATTTTATTTTGATCCTGTCGACTTTGAATGATAAAATTACTATTTATTTAAATGTAGTCTGGTCAGTTTGGCAATTGCAATTTCAAGGTTTGCAGGTTAAACAAAAGGATCTTACTCTTCAACAAAAAAGTCTATCTCTGTAGGGATCCTTTTCAGAATGTTGTCAGACATTTATAATAACAATCTGTTAGAGGACGTAAATTGACCAAGGTGTTGCCGAACATATGACACTGTCAAACCAAACCCTTTCTGCTCCTCTGCAGCCGGTTGAGATGACGGACGGCAGCATCGTCATCAACGTGCGGAACCAGAACAACTACCACTGTCGGTGTCGCATTATTGTACGCAGCCACGACGGTGGAGAGACCCTGCCCATAGATGATCTGTTCTTTGACTACGAGCTGGTGGATCCTGCAGTAGCAGCTGGAGCTCTGCAGAAAGATGGAGTGCTCTTCTTTACCAACCCCTCTAATATGCAACACAGTAAGAGTCATCATCCCTTCTTCCCTACACTCATTTGTCACCGGTGCTCGGTGGTGAAAGTAAAAGTAGCAATACTATTCTGTAAAAAATACTCTGTTACAGAGTTGTGCCTGTATTCATTCAAAAGTATAGAATTACTATCGGCAAGATGTATTTAAATTATCAAAAGTAAAAGCATTTATTGAAAACAATGACCCCTTTCAGAATGTTTTATCACCATATATATTGCTGGAATATTATTATTGGCATATTAACACATTAATGTCACAGCTGGTCATGGTTGTTGTGTTGAGTTCCTTTCCACCACTGCTGCTGCTTTTCTCCAGGCCAAAACAACTCATCGATTTTCTTTGCTTCAGACTTAAAAGATCAGTATCATCACTACATCATACTAACTTCTTTTCTCATCCCCCAAGGAATTAATATGACGTTACGTTGGTCGCTGAATGATGGCAAATCTTGGGAGAAACAAGCTGTGCAGTTATGGGCGGGGCCCAGCGCCTACTCCAGCATCACATCACTGGACACTGGCTCTGTAGAGGACCAGAAGTACATCTACGTCATCTACGAGAAGGGCCACAAAGACTGTTACGAGACGGTCTCGTTCGCAAAGATCCACCTGTATGGTGGCCGGTAGAGCATGTGAGAGGGAGGTAAGCAGATGTGCATCAAGTCATTAATATCAGCCGGTGCATTAAAACTGATCTGTTGGTCTGACTTCTGTTATAATTTCACCTTGTGTTTGTCTCCCAGATACAATGCTGGAGGGAAAGGGAAACAGAAGGCTGAAACTGACTCCTAGGACTTTCTCAGGAAGAAAATGAAAGACTTTTTATACTCACTTTATAATATTGAATATGGGGCAATGGGAGGCTCAACACCATTAATATTTAGACGGTTTATGGTCAGCTTGTGATAATCTTAAATACAATTTTCTCTTTATTTTATTTTTCTCTTCTCTAGAATTCCCACATTTAATGACGTTGCAAGTCTGATGTCCATTTTTCTGTGTTTGGATATGTTGCCAAGTGTGTGTGTGTTTTCTAAAAAGTTGTTTTTGCACAGCCGCAATTTTGTGGATTTCCTCTTCCTAGACACAAGTAGACAGAATAAAAATATGACCAAGCAAGGGACAGTTAAATGTTGAAGACTAAGTTTCAGACCAAATACACTAGTTTCCAAGCTACTTAAAGGGTAACTTCTCTATTTTTCAACCTGGACTCTATTTTTTGTGTCTCTGGCTTTTGTGTGTTGTGTAAGAGACGAATGGGAACAACATTTTTTGACACTATGCACTGTCAATTTATGTCCACTTAAAGTGCTTGTTTTTGTCACTGACGGGCTCAGATTGTTGACAACATTATCAAAAGGGTTCCCTCTTATGATAGACGTTTTTGTTTGAGAGTAAGATCCTTTTTGTTTAACCATAAACAATGATTAAATCGCTATCGCCAAAACTCACCAGACTCAAATAATTTTATTGTGTATAGAGCCAGCATATTTGCACATTTAAGAGGTTGAATCTAGGGCTGAAGCAAGAACGTTTTTCTAAGTTATATTTTATTTCTGTCAACTTTAAATTAAGTGCGTTTAAAGGTGATAAAATTACTGTTTATTTAAATGGAGTCTGGTGGGTTTGGCGATAGAGATTTTGGGGCTGCTCCTGGCTAAACAAAAAGGATCTTACTCTTTAACAAAAAAGTCTATCTCTGTATGGATCCTTTTCATAATGTTGTCAGACACTTAAATTAACAATCTTAATCTTTTTTTTTTTTTAAAGATATTTTTTGGGCTTTTTAGCCTTTAATGGATAGGACAGACTAGTGTGAAAGGGGGAGAGAGAGAGGGAGTGACATGCAGCAAAGGGCCACAGGCTGGAGTCGAACCCGGGCCGCTGCGGCAACAGCCTTGTATATGGGGCGCCTGCTCTACCACTAAGCCACCAGCGCAACAAAAATCTTAATCTTAACAATTTAAAAAAAATTGCTGTCTCCATTAGTCACTTAGACACAAAAAATTGGGAAAATAAGGTCAATACTGAAGTTACTGTCCAGCAGCAAACAGCAACAGCAAATGAAAAGTATCACATCACAGTCTTCTGAGATGACTAATGACTTTCAGCAGTTTGAATATGATGTTAATGCAGTGTAGATTTTAAGCACCTCTGCATTGATCACGAATTCACCTCACTGTCAGAGCCACTCTATGTTTGACGCTGGGGTGAAATGATTCCTATTTCCTCAGATAATGTAATTTAATAGTGAAGCAGCCTACTTTCAATTCTCATATGGGTTCACGGTTTTATAATTATAATTACTGCCTTTATTGAAATATGAGTGTGCCATGAATATAGGCTGATTGAAATAGGTTCTGCTGCCTCTATAAAACCAGAAGTTGTGTGAAATGATGTGGATGGCTTTGATATATTGGGGTTTGAGTGGTTTTAGAAAAAACAATAGTTAAAATAGAAATGAATCATGTGTGCGCGTGTGTTTAATGAATGTAAGAGTGAAGAGGTGAGAACATGATGTAGCCAAAGTATCCTTTTATGCACTTGAACAGCATGTATTCTGATATTTTGTAATCAGTCTGAAGTTCCCTCAACTCAAATTTGGTTATTTTATGTCCAAATCAAGTGTCCATTTATGCCCTGTATTATCAGCATTGTACACAGGGTTAGATTGTTTTTATGCAGGACATTATCTGATCTGTACTATCTGTAAAATAAATAAATGGTTTCTAACAATTGTGGGCAAAGCAGCGCTGATTTGCAGTGTCATTTATGATTTACACAAAGAAATCTTAGAATTTTCTTCCCAAGCAGCAACTGATGCAGCAAAAATTGCATGAATTAGGATGATGAGGGAGAATACCTCCCATTAAAATGCTTTATGTCAGTGATTACAACACAGCAGAAGGAAACGGGTTGGTTTAAACCAGGGTTGAAGAAAAAAATATCTGCACTGACTTTACATTAATGTCACTTTACTGGTGTCTGTTCTCTGCACATCTCTCTGATACAGAGGTGGGACAAAGTCATTGTTTTGCAAGTCTCAAATCTTTGCACTCAAGTCCCAAGTCAAGATAAGCAAGTCCCGAATCAAGTCTTAAGCCCTTACATTTGAGTTTTGAGTCCTAAGTAAGTCATATTGCAGCTTCTGCTAAATGTAATGCCATTTTACTATCAGATCAATAACAGATTAGCTTAGATTTTTTGTATGTATTTGTTCAAAGATGTTTGAAAAAAAAAAGTAGTGCTAACATTGCACTTCCTTTAAAGTAACGTTGCATTTTTGTATGCTTTATGTCTAAATGAACAAAAAGGATTATCATGCACATTAGTAGATTAGTACGTAATGGTGTTATTCTACAGTTAAAGTGACTTACTTCATGATTAAACTCCTAAAAACTGCACCATAATGCTGAATACTTTACAGGACTTCATGCTGTAATACCGAGGGTGATTGGGGTGTTGTTTTCGGAAAATTCTGCCCCCATGTGGATAAATGTTGTAAGTGTATTTACCATGTTGCTCTTATGAATATGACCAGAAAATGAAATGCATGCATAAACTGAAATTAAAAACATAGTCAATTTTTTTGTCCATGCCTGCAGTTAAAGTAAACACAAACATTTTATCATTTCCCCAGCCAGCTGATCTTACACCTTAGTGGAGAGAAATGTCATTGAGATGAAGTATGTACAACAACATCAAAAAAATAGGAATATAAATATGAATAAATAATATTAAACGAAAAATTAAATATAAACATTTTCATCAACCATTGTTTACTGAGGGAAACTGACTGAGAATTAAACTCTTTAACAGCAATACCCCGAATTCATGCACATAAGGGCTATAAGGACATATATATATAATATATGATGACAACCACAATAAAGCATTGAAAAAGTCCATGAAAACAAGTAAATAGCAGTGCTGTCTGGCAAGAATAATAAACAGCAACAAAACCAACAAATCTGACAGGAAGAAAAGATATATCACAACAACAACAATAAATACAACAAAACAGAAAACAAAAACAATGTCACAAGGCATGGTATGTAATTGATATATATATCTATGTGCATTAGTTTTTTTAATTGAAATAACCAATAATCAACACGCATTTAAACATCATTCAGTGGATGTATAAGGTACATTATTGTGCATACAAACGTTATTTCAAAAGAAATGAAAAGGCCAATATGACTAATTAGAATTAATAGAAAAAATAATTATATACAAAAAACATCACTAGTAAATTTTATGTTACAATTATTCAGGGGACTTGTCAAAGAAGTCTTATTTCGTCAATACTTTATTAATGAAAATAGTTCCACGATGAATACCTGTGTAAACAGTGTAAATGACAATTAAATCTTATCATATTTAACAATGATAGAAATAATAAAATATTGACAAAACAACAAAATGTAAATGATTTAAAGGACAAGAAAATTAAAGAAAAAAAAATATATATACATAAAATTATTTAACAAAATAAATACAATAACATGAGATAAAAACCAAAAAGAAATATCAAGACAAAATGCGAGTTTGTGTAATTTTTTTTCTTAACTTTATTGAACAATTGACATTTACAACAATGAGGCAACTAAACCATATTATCAGAGTACATGGGCATGAAACTGAGTGGAGGAAGAAAGTAAAAAAAGATTCGTCAGCCAAAATAAATAACGGAAATAATACAATACATAATATAAAAAGTTATTTGGTCTTCATTTGAGAGTAAACCATTTTATTGTATATATTTATATTTTATATTATTTTTATATTTTCAGGGTTTGTTTATTTGTACATTTCTACACGGCTGAGCAGTTTATTAGTATTTTAATTTTGTGTAATATTAAAATGAAAAACTTCCCCTTTGCGTGACGTCGTCATCATGTGACCGCCCATCATGGTCACATGATCCACAAGCAAGATGCAGCATTTTAGATGAGCAAAGAAGAGCAGTTCCGCCTTTTATCTCTCTGTGTGTTTCTTATGTTCTTGTGAATTTATTTCTCAACTCATCGTCTCGACTTTAACTAAACTTATCTGTCGCAATACAGAAGAAAGTTTGAGGACGTGACTCAAACATGGAGACAGAAAGCCGCCTCGCAACACTCTCTGTACTTCTGTGCGCCGTGTTGTGTCCCTGTGTTTTTACCTTCAGCCCTGAACAGGTACAGTAACGAAATGTCATAGAAATACGTTGCAGCACAATAGAGTGTCATTAATGTAGGTGCACATGGTGTTAAAGCTGTAAAGTGTTCAGTGTCAGCTTGATTTCACCGTTCAAACAGACTTTATTTCGTTTCTAAGCTGTTACATGTTTCTGTTAATTTGTCCAGCCTGTACATGCGTTCATTTTTAATTGTTTAAGTGTTAAAATTACTTAAAAATAGTCATTCCACACTATAGAAATACTTGACCTGCATTCAAGATAGAATAAAAGTAAATGGACTCAAAGTATCCAAAGTAAAAGTATGTGTTAGTTTAATTATATTACTGACCCATTATTAGAAATGATTTGGTATATAAACAGTACCTAGATGTTGTAGGTGGTTGACATGAAGCTTATTTAAATGCTGTCTATACGTATGGGTAGTTATATCTATAGCACAACATCCTATTTTATTACTGATTATGATTTCTTTGTAAAGTCTCGATCTGAAAACAACTATAGCTGTCAAACAAAGTGCAAAGCCTCCCTCTGAAATGTATGAAGTAGAACAAAGTAAAGTACAAGTACTTCAAAACTGTAAAAGTACAGTACTTGAGTATATGTCATTAGCAACATTACACTACAGCTTGTACTGTTACGGTCGGTTTGGAATAGGCCACATAAAATGAGCGCTTTCTGAAATGAAAGTGTGATCATCACCTGCTTGGGTCACCTGACTCTTCTAACTGGTTTTGCTATCAGATAGTGGAACTCTTTTTTCCCCTTAGTCAGCCATCCTCTCTTCATTTTCTATCTTGCCTCTCTCCACTGTCCAGATTGACCCTCTGCTGTATGAGGAGCAGCTGCTGTGGGTGAGCGGAGCCCAGGGGCAGGTGAACACCTACAGGATCCCCCTCCTCACCTTCACCCCCAAAGGAAGCCTGCTGGCCTTCGCAGAGGCCAGGAAGTCAGTGGCTTCTGATATAGGAGCAAAGTTCATTGCAATGCGGCGGTCCACTGACAAAGGCAAGGATGAGCACCAGACAGAAACTGTCAGAAACACAAACACACACACACTAACAGAGTGGGTACAAATCTATCATCCATCTCTTCAGCCACACAAGGTGGACAAAGGTCAAAACAGTAATTAACAGTCACTTTACTGAAGTTTCCTAGTTTCTAATATGACATAAACAAACATGTTAGCCACAACTTTAACTATCTTACGTTTTTCAACTTGTTGAATATACTGTACTTTCATTTTTATTATATCTTTAAATAAATTGTTTATTGTAAAATTTGTCAGAAAACATTATGACAAATGCAAAAGTAAAGAAACAACATAGAACAGGGGTGTCTATGCTATTTTGAATGGCAGCCAAATTAGATGTGAAAACACCTGGGGCCAGCTGGTTCTCACATCATATGGGTTTCCAAAAACAATATCACATAAAAGAGGGGCAGCCCTCGCTTTTGACTTTACGCATCTTTGCCGTGGCTACTATCTAGCAGGAAACATTTGCGTTGTTTACAAAAACACATTAGTTCAGCCTGCATAGTTCCTACTTGGTGCATGTCTACAAACTGTATA